TGAAGATTTGAAGAAATATTTACGAGATATTTTATGTTGAAATACGTCAGATTAAAGCATAAAATATTTTGTATTCCATTTTTGTCTATTTTACTCGTACAACTTTTTACGCTGAATATTCCGAGGAATCGATGTAAATTAAATCTTAGGATCGTTCCATTTAAAACAGTAATAATGACTTGCTTGAACTATCAAAAACGCTTCTACATAAAAAGATTACATTTTCCAATTCCATATCTTATTCTCGAGATATTTTAGAACGTCAATTAAAATGAAAAACCCTGCATCTATAATTCAATCTTTCTCTTCAAATATTATTATTCGTTAATTAACATTTATCCGTCAGAGGTACGTTGCGAATAAACATTCGGGCGCGACCGGGTAATGTTTTCTCTGTTTCGCGTTCTTTCCGTTTTATTTTCTAATGCTTTGTCTCTCGCTCACACTCACTCAATAGACGCGCCTGCGCATAATGAGGCTTGACCGTCCATGCCCATATTTGGAATTCGTGCATCTCTCTTTTATGGGGCTCGTCCCTCTCATTGTGAAGATACGAGACTAGCAATATAGGAGTATTACATATATGATTCCGCAAATCAATATATCGATCGCGGTTCTATCAGCTGTCAAACGCGATATCGGGCGACAAAAATCAAAACGGCGAGGACGCAACAATATCTATGGCTTGGTACAAGAAGTGCCAATATCAAATTTCTACTTAAATGAACCAAGACTAGAAATGTGTTTGAAAACTCTTGTATATTGTGTACAAGAAATGGTAATGTCAAAATCTAAATAAAAATGAGGGTAACAGCTTCCACTTATACTTATATCAAGTTATTTAATCATAAACTAAAAAAATTTTTAACTAGACATATCTCAAGTTGATAAATATTGACATTGACACTTCTTTCACCAAGCCACAGATATATATTAAGAATCAAATACTTATCGGGTTTTTAGCATTTTCGTAGTACAAATTTTTTCAAATCGTGACGACAGATTATGCTCGATTTCGTTTCTGCTCGTTCGCTGCGTTTTTGCTGCCACACTGCTAGCATATTCATAATATTTAGTTCACTGGGTTCAAGCATACTGCAATAAAATTATAGGTTACAGAATTATTATAGAGTAAATATAAATTATAATTTGTATTTATCCTTATTTATAATTTTGTATTTACCCTTATTTATAATTTTATATATTTTATATATTAAAATAATAGTTAATTAAAAAGACAATAATTACCTTGGATTAAAAGAATGTTATTTTTGACCCGGTTGAGTGAAGTGGTTATTCTAATCTATAAACATCAAACACAGCATAAGAGACATACATAGGTTAAAAAATTATTAAGGGGGTATTCTAGTGTGGCAGGTAAAAAAAAACATTTTTTTTTGCATATTCTTATAGTTTGGGGTCTTGAAAATGTGTCCATAACATATTAAGGTAAAATTCGTAAAATTGACCGATAAAGATTTAAAGAGCGCAGCTAAAGAGAACACGTACAGTATTCTTAACTTCTTTTCGATTTTTTCTGCCATCGGTGCGCTTGTTATTTGTGAAAAGTGTACAAAAACATAACATTTAGTGAAGCAAGTTCCCGTGGATTGGGATTCACTTGGTATAGCCGACTAAAAGTAAGTTACTGAAATTATTCATTATCCACATCGTAACTGCATGCAAAACTTTAAACGCGTTTTTCTCGAAACGACATTTTTCAAATCGGGCGTGTATTTTTCTCAAAAACTACTGAACCGATCGACTTGCAGTTTTGCACACATATAGTGTACATATTAGGCTATCGTTCCAGCCTCCGTCATTTTGATCTCTTTAAAATTACTATTTTTCCGGGCCGCAAAATGTGAAAAAAATTAAAAAAAAAAAAATTTTTTTTAGTAAAAATCAGAGTACTTTTTTTCAAGCGCCGCCATTTTGTCAATTTTTATTCAAATTATTTATTCGAGGGACGAACGATAATCACATTCGTAAGGAATAAAATAAAAAAAAATTTGTTTATTTCAGATGACGAGGACGGCGGCAATGGTCACACCCGATAAAAAAGGTTTTTTGCGACATGATCTGTGCGTCCACCTCTATATCTTATAAAATTTTTAATAAAAGGCTTTGAAAAAATTTGAGATGTTACTAGAAATATGAATAAATGTGAATACAAAACTTCAGCTCTGTAGGTTTAACCATTTTTATAAAATTAATTTCCAAAAATCGTTTTGAAAACATGTGTTCACACTAGAATATCCCCTTAATAAAGAATATAAACTATAGTTTCAAATTATCTTATATTACCTTATTATTATTATCTGACAGTCCATCGCCTCATTAATTTGGATTGCTTGAAGCCCTTCGTTTTACAATATTTTATTCAAGCACTCTACAATTAATGCCCTGTCTAGATCGGAGGATAATTTTACTTGTGGCTCATTTTTTTATCAATTAAAAAAAATTATTTGAGTAAACTATCCATTTCACAAGTAGGATCCTTTATTGGTCCAAATTAGGCATAACTGAATGAAATTGTAGGTTATGCATCTCTCCCAGAATTGCCATAGCAGACGACTTTATAAGTCCGTTTAGTGATGTCTTACAAAAGATCCGTCAGACGTCTGTACATCGTCTTTAGTTAATGTCTCAAAGACGTAATGAAAAGGACGTCTACAGAACGTCGTTAAGACATGCGTGTTGTGTGGGGAATATGACCATGCCGATTGGCGACAAGATATTGCCTAACACAATTATAATTGAATAAAGTAAAATTATATAAGTTGGATTGCAAAATAAATAAATAATCTTAAAATATAATAAATATTACAATTACAGCATTAATTTTTATATTTTAATAATAAAAATACATGTCACAATTCACTTAAATGCTAAAAAAATTTTTTTTTTAAAGTAATATTTAAACCAGCAATATGCAAAATATTAGCCAGACGTCTTACCCATGCCTACCCTAAGTTACGCTTGTTAATGCTCGGTAGATTACGCACACGCAAATGTTTAAACGTGTTTTTCTCGCTTATTCTTAAGAGTTGCGTCGTATCACGGATTAGTGAGAAGTGCTACTACACATACAGGGTGTTCGATAATTGCTGAATCACCTCTCGGTTGTAGGTAGAGCGGTTTAAACCGAATAGAAAAGTCCTCTATTATTTTGCGATTTTCGCAATAATTAATGAGGAATTAATTAAAAAATATCGATCAATTCGCGCGAGTTTAAGAGCGCGGCAAAAAAAGACTCGTAGTGATACAGCCCATTGTTATTTGGTTACTAGGCGCGCGATAAATTGTTGGGAGGAGCGCTCTATAAATGACAACGGCACATACGAGCGGTGTGTAACGCTAGATCCTTGTGTCTTAGCGACCACGCAACAACGGGCTGTCTTTTCTCGCCGCGCGCTTAGATTCGCGCAAATTGGCCGATCTTCTTTAATTAATTTCTCATTAATTATTGTGAAAATCGCAAAACGATAGAGAACTTTTCTACTCGGTTTAACCCGCTTTACCTGCACCCGAGATGTAATTCAGCAATTATCGGACACCCTGTATATAAAATTGGGTAAAATCGGAATCCCAGATGTCTAGTGTCAGACCAAATTTTTTTTAATTTTTAGAAAGAGAGGTAGACGCAGATTTGGCTAAACGTTTCTTTGTCGTGGAATGTTTATGTTTATAGATCGACCTACCGCGACGCGGTACGAAGGATTTGACGCAACATTTACATTGCGAAGATAAAGCATACTCGAATTAATAGAAGAATTTCTTGATGGAGAATTCACTCGCAAAGGACGCGAATTTTATAAAGTTTATAAGGCGACGGCCGCCTTTAACCTCGATGTCGTCGGTATCGACATTCTTCTTGTTATTATGCGCTAGTAGATTATCTGAAACGCGAGAATGGAAAACTTGTCCACTTATCTCGTCTTTCAGGTTCGGATTGGGGCCAGATCCGAACATGTCCACGTAGGAAAGAAGGATGGGAGGAGGAAGAAGAGGTACCTAAAAGATGCGTAGAAATAGCCGAAAAAAGAAAAAAAATGGCCACGAGGCTACAGTCCCAAAATAAAAGCGTGAACATGGCACTCTCTTCAAAGCACAGTGAACACGAAATAAAGCAAAAGTAAAAAAAAAAGCCCAAAGTATCAGCGAAAATGCGTGCAGAAAGCAAGTAATTTAATAGATTATATCATACCGAAGAATACACCACGTGGAGTGATACTACGCGCGATCTGTCTCGTGGCTACGGTCAGACTCCCCGTGTCTAACTAATGACTCCATCGCAACGTGGTTCGTTTTTAACGAACAACCTAATCTAATACAATTTCTAATCATTAAATGGTATATCTAATACCTTAAGGGCCGGTTGTTCTAACTTCTAGGTAAAATCATACTGACCTGAAAGGTGGCTACCCTGTAGATAAAATTTACCTATTAGTTTACCGCCAGGTTTAATTCAACATGTTGTTCCATGATAAAATATCTATTAGGTAGTTACCTCGTCGGTAAGTATGAAAATGCGCTTCCGGTTTGTATATTGCTAACTTCATATCATTAAAAAGTGAGGTTGTGTTAATCATTTTAATCTATCTATCGAATTGTGGTATATCTGATAAATATGCAAAAAAGTGTAAGTTGGATATTTATTCACATATATGTATATTTAGTGTTATCTAAAATATTACAGTAATGTAATATATATAAAAATAAGTTATTTTTACAGTTATATTAAAAATGGAAGAATCTGTTAAAGAAGGTAGAAGCGTTAATTTTACAGCTAGTGAGATTATTACTTTAATAGAACTTGTAAAAAAATATCAACATATCATCGAATGCAAAAAACTGATAGTACTACATGGCGAGACAAAGATGAATGTTGGTCTAAAATCACAGATGAATTAAATTCTTGCTGTGGAGAAACTTATCGAAAGAAAAAAAGCGTAAAAACAAAATACGAAGATATGAAAAAGAACTTAAAGAAAAATTATCAAGAAATAAAATGGAAACATTTAAAACTGGCGGTGGACCTGCAAATATACAACCACTTACTTTTGCTGAAGAAATTCTTTTATCTTTTTTACCGTCCACTATTCAAGGATTGCCTTCCGTTTTTGATTCTGATAGAATATTAGCAGGTATTAATTTTATATATGTATACAATTTATACTTTGTTATTATTTTATAATGTTCATATGTATATATGTTTCAGATAAACAAATGTGTGTGTGTGTCAAAACGCAAAACCTCTTTAGCAGAAACAGTTGTTATAAAAGACAATATAAATGATGAATCTCAAACTCAAGATACTGATGATCAATTTGAATGGATATATGAAACACTTAATGTAGATGAAGTTAATGATGAAGATAAAGTAAGATATGGACTTTTTTGAATATATCTAATTATATTTTTATTTTAATAACTAATTTATTTGTACACTTATAGACAGAAAACGCAGCCTATTTCAGTGATGTAGAAGATGATACAAAATATACAAATAAAAAGCGATTACCTTTAGAAGACGTTTTTAATACACATTCAAGCGCACATGTAAAAAAAATAAAACATACGATATTGATGATAATAATGTAAGATCCACATCTATTAACTTTACAATAATGTTTATATTTTTAATTATATTTTAAATGTTTTATAAATTTACAGATAAAAAGCGTACTTGATTTAAAAAATAGTGAAAAAAATAACGTTTCGAGAACAACCTCCAATTCAACAGAAAAGTAGTACAAAATCAGCCAAAACCGGCGTTGATATTCTGAGAAAAAAGGTTAAGCAAGGAACTTAAGACTGAAAATGGGAATGCATCAAAATCAATTATAAAAACTGATATTATCAATTTAGCAAACGCAAAAGAAGAATTAGTGCAATTGCAAAAAACAGCTTTAGAGACAGATATACAAATTAAAGAAAGAAATAACAATACGCAAGAAGAGATTTTACAAATAGAATTGGAAATAAGTAAAGAAAAATTAAAATTTGTAAAATTAGAGATACAACTTAAAGAACTAGAAGTGGAGATTAAAAAACAACAACTTACAAGGCTGCTATAAATAGCATATATATTATATTATATATATACAGTAAGGTCTCTGTTAGTAGATAGAGTGATGATTTTAGATTGTTTTACATATTGCTTTATGATTACCCTTTATAATTAGTGGAAATATTACGTTCTGTTTGTTTCACTTGCGGAAATGGCTTTGGATATATATGCGGAACTTTTTAAATATGAGGATTTTTATTTGGAAGATTATGAGATTTTGATCCGCATTCGCAAATCATATTCGGTTCGGTTATGACCAGATCTTTTAAATATGTTTGATGGAAATGAATTCATTGCACACTTTAGGTTGTATAAAGAAAGAGTTCTCAAAATAATTGATTTTATTTGTGATAGAATACAAAGAAGAACAATGAGGTAAATGCAATTAATAATTAAATGCTATAAGTAAATGCTATAAATAGCAACCTTGTAATTTATAGATTATCTAACTAAAAAGATTTTATAATTAAGATATTTTATAATTAAGATTTTATAGTTATACTCTTATAAAATATTATTTTTATAAAATATATATTATACTCTTCAAAGACACTGGACGCATAATCTAAAACGCTCATTAAAAAAAAGTTAAGTTTATAAAAAAAAAAGAGTTAAGTTCATAAAAAAAGATTATATTTTTATATAATCACTTATAAGTTGTTGCCAAAGAGATTTTGCATTTTGACATTTGCTATAAATAGCAGTCTTGTAATTTATAGCTTATCTAACTGAAAAGATTTTAGTTAAGATTTTATAGTTATACTTACACTAACAATAAGTGTTATAAAATATATTACTTTTTTCAAAGACTGACGCACACACATAATCCAAAAGTTTATTAAAAAGTTAGAAAGTTAAGTTCATAAAAAGAGAGTTA